ATATGTCTGGGAGTCGAAGGCTGATGGGGCATTTGCCATTTCTGAGGATGTATGGAATGAACCTCTTGGTCGTGGAACCGAAATTAGATTGCACCTCAGAGATGAAGCAGGAGAATATTTGGACGAGTACAAACTGAAGGTGTGTCTGATAGATACTTCCCAAGGAGACTCTTTTCATATATCATGAATTGGTGCATGCCAACACTTTAATATTTCACCAGTCATTTAGAGTAATTTTTATTTTTCATTCTAATATTGATTTTGGCATAGTAGGTAATAATATATTATAATGCTGAAATAAATGGAAATAAACAATCTTAACCTTTTGTGCCTTGGTATTGATTTATCAATTCCTTTTTGTCCCACATTATCCATTAGACCTTTGTATAAGGTAAATAGTTTTATTAACATTTGGGGGAACCCCTTGTACAAGCTGTATACCAAAAAAAGAGAACCTACACCAAAATATGGTTCTCAACAAACGAGATCCAATCTTATATACAATTAGGGACCTCATGAGCACACCTAAAAGAAACTAGAAACAAAAGACTACTTTGCAATTTTATAAACTCTTGTTCCACTCCTTCAAATGCCTTTCTATTTCTCTCTTTCCAAATAACCCACATGATTGCTAAGGGGGCAACACTCCATGTCCTTAGACTTTCTTCCCACTTCTATGAGCCCAACTATGCAGCACTTCCTTCACTGAACCCGCACATCATCCGCTAGATTATATTCTATTGCAGACTAGAAGTAAATACTTTCCAAAATTGAGGAACATAACGAAGACCAGGGCAGTAAAAGGGCTGCAAACGTTTGTGACCCATTGATTTGAAGCTAGTTCTAGGTTGTTTTCTTATATGAATTTTTCTGCTCCCCCTTAGGATTATTTTATTATTTGGACCTTTGATTGAAAGGGTGCAGTCTAACAGAAGAAACAACAGGACCAATTACTTGATATTCCATAAGTCTTGTATTACAGTGGTTGAGAATGAGATGATTAAGCTTATGGATGAATTGCTAACTAAAAGTAAAAGTCTGTGATATTTGGGCTGTTTCTGTTTTAGCATATTCAATCTTGTGCTTGTGTGTCTGTGTGGAGGTACCGTAAATTTTTGTAGTTAGAAAAAAAAGCCCAACCTGTTGTTCTGTTGACTAAGTTTTTGGATTCTTACATTTTGGTACTTGTCATCAGCATCTATCCTGAATATTCTCTACTCCAAATTTGATTATTTTCCAGTTCAAGTTACCAGATTAAATTGAAAATAAGAGTTTCTATGGACATACTTTCTGTTTCTAAAATAATATTATGTTTCTGAAGCTTCTGTTGAGGTTCTCTACATTGCTTAATGCATGGGTTACCTTGTATTCAGGACCTGGTGAAGAAATACTCTGAATTCATCAACTTCCCTATAAATCTTTGGGCAAGCAAAGAGGTTGAGAAGGAGGTTCCTGTCGATGGAGACGAGTCAAGTGATGAAGAGGAAACATGTATGCGTGATTCATCCTACTTGGCTTGCCAAGTTTATTCAGTGTTAACGAAGTCGGAACTTGTAGTGAATGTGTTTAATGCATATTTTAAGACCTGTTCCCTGCTCGGAGAAATTGTTTGAGGTTTTGGGGGTGTGGGGGGTGTGGTAGGTTGCTAGATGAATTAAAGTTTACCCCCTCATCTTTTAATCTTATGCGACCTCATAGTCTTTCAATGTTGTGAACAGCTGAAACCAGCCCTTCTGAAGAAGAAGGAGATGAAGATGATTCTGAGAAGCCAGAAGATGAGAAAAAGCCTAAAACTAAGAAAGTGAAGGAAACCACTTATGAGTGGGAGCTTTTGAATGATGTGAAAGCTATATGGCTTCGGAATCCAAAGGAGGTGACAGAGGAAGAGTATACGAAATTCTATCACTCACTTGCAAAGGTAAATTGCTACTTACATACTTTCTTCCACTTGAAATGCAGTGAGAAGAGTAGAAAACTTTTGTGAACTCTCTTATCATTTGCTAAATTCTTGTATTATTTTGCCAGGACTTCAGTGATGAGAAGCCCTTTGCTTGGAGTCACTTTAATGCTGAAGGTGATGTTGAGTTCAAGGCTGTACTGTTTGTCCCTCCTAAGGCTCCTCAAGATTTATATGAAAGCTACTACAACTCCAAGAAATCCAACTTGAAGTTATATGTCAGACGGGTCTTTATCTCTGATGAATTTGACGAATTGCTGCCCAAGTACTTGAGTTTCCTAATGGTAGTTCTTGTTACTCTAGAACTTCACTGTTTATATTACGTATGGGCCAAGAGTTTCTAACGCCATTTTGTTTGACATTATGCTAGGGTCTTGTTGATTCTGACACCTTACCCCTCAATGTCTCAAGAGAAATGCTTCAGCAGCACAGCAGCTTGAAGACAATTAAGAAGAAACTCATCCGCAAGGCCCTTGACATGATACGCAAGATTGCTGATGAGGATCCTGATGAATCTAACGACAAGGATAAGAAAGGTTAGTTTATATCTCTGAACAATCCATTGCCTAAGAGATTGAATTTCTCATTTCCTCTTTTCTGAGTTTCTCATGACGTTACAGATGTTGAAGAATCCAGTGCAGACAACGAGAAGAAAGGTCAATACACAAAGTTTTGGAATGAATTTGGAAAGTCAGTAAAACTTGGTATCATAGAAGATGCAACTAACAGAAATCGCTTGGCTAAGCTCCTCCGATTTGAGACGTATGCCCTGTGTCTTAAGAGTAATTCTTTGATGAGATTGTTAAGTCAAATCAGGGTGACTGATCCCTTGTCGTCTTAATATTTTCTCGTTTACAGCTCAAAATCAGATGGTAAACTAACTTCCCTAGATCAGTACATCTCAAGGATGAAGGCTGGACAGAAGGATATCTTCTATATAACTGGAGCTAGCAAAGAGCAGTTGGAGAAATCACCATTCCTTGAGAGGCTAACTAAGAAAAATTATGAGGTATGAGTCTTTCTTAAGATTGCATGGGAAAGCTGCATAACAAAATAGTAGTTTATTTTAACAGAAAGTATTAGTCATCTTTTCTTGCATTGTGAGTTTGACTATGTTCCTTGTCTTTGATATTTAAATTCTCTTATAAATGCATTTATCATGTCTGCTCTAAAGATTCATTTGCTAAGTTTCCCTTGTTTAGGTAATTTTCTTCACGGATCCCGTAGATGAATACCTGATGCAGTACCTTATGGACTATGAAGACAATAAGTTCCAAAATGTATCCAAAGAGGGCCTGAAACTGGGCAAGGATTCAAAAGCCAAAGAGCTCAAGGAGTCATTTAAGGAGCTAACCAAATGGTGGAAGGGTGCTCTTGCTAGTGACAATGTAGACGATGTCAAGATTAGCAACCGTTTGGCCGACACCCCTTGTGTAGTTGTGACATCGAAATATGGTTGGAGTGCCAATATGGAAAGAATCATGCAGTCACAAACTCTGTCGGATGCAAGCAAGCAGGCGTATATGCGGGGTAAAAGGGTGCTTGAGATCAACCCTAGGCACCCAATTATCAAGGAGCTTCGGGATAGAGTAATCAAGGACCCTGAGGTACACTTGATTTTATCTCTACACATGTGATCAAACGATAAATGTTATAGAAATGGCTAACTGTTACTAATTTCATTAACTTGGTTCACAGGATGAGAGCGTGAAGCAAACGGCTCAGCTGATGTACCAGACAGCATTACTGGAGAGTGGTTTCCTGCTCAATGACCCAAAGGATTTTGCCTCCCGCATCTACAGCTCAGTTAAGAGCAGTTTAAATGTCAGCCCTGATGCAACAGTCGAGGAAGAAGAGGATATTGAGGAACCTGAAGCTGAAACTGATGACAAGGAAGCTGCTGCCAAAGATGATTCTGATGCGAAGGACGAATTATAGATTAGTCTTGACGAATGCCCTTTCTCTGGAGAAAACTACGTAGAAGTCACATGCTATATACAAAGCGCATGTGGATAATTTAGGTTTCAGATTGTTAGTCCATAGGTTAATGTTAAAAGTACCAGGATTTTTGTCTGTCTTGCATTTTCACGGATTTGTGTATGAGAACGTTGCTGTGTTTTCTGCAACATAATATAATTTGCGATCCTCTTTTTTTCTTCCTTTTTACCTCAAATCTCCAATATGCACCATCTAGGTTTCAAGCCTAGTCCACGGAGGAGCTCTTTGTTGGTTTTTAGCTTTGAATGCTACCTAAAATCACAATTATTGTAGGTCTACTAAAAGTTTCATAGCGTATTAGTTTTTTTTTTTTTGATAAGAGGGGAAACTCGCGGTCGCTACAATCTTTGACACAGCTTCTGCTTTTCGGGTGAGCACTCTGTGGTGAGCATACTTTGTGCGCACTGGGTAAACCTCCCCCTGTGTAATAGCCTACAAACCACACAGGGGATGTAAACTGCACTAGGCAAGCCCTGTGCGACAGGTTCAACTCAGAAGATATTGAGGGGGGATTAGATCCCAAGTCATCTGTATGGATAACCACCCTCCAAACCAACTGGGCAAACCCGAAGAGTTGCGTATTAGTTATTTTGAACTGCAATAAAAAAGTATTTTTGAATCCCTCGAAATCATCAGTGAGTTTTATCTTAGAAGTGTCATATTATACAATTATTATGACCAAAGTTAATATATTTAACGTTAAGCGCGATGATTGGCAATATGACAATTGAATATTGTTAAAAGGGGAAATGGAGCTGGGTTAGAGAGTGAGAGCTTGAGTCGGTTACAAAGAGAAAGAGAGAGAAAATCTCAATTTCATTTCTTCAATCTTAATTACAATGTGTATATATATGCCTATTTATACAACTCACTAGCTAGCTAACTTAACTATCTTCTAACATAGTCCTTAGCTAACTAATTATGTAACTAACTAAGTACTACTCTATATCCATTAAGTACAACTATCACAACTACTAATATTTTCTACACTCCCCCTCAAGTGGGGTGATGAAATACATTGATCATCCCCAACTTGCATAACATTTCACTGTGCAGTTGTTTCCCAAAACCTTAGATAGAATGTCTGTAACTTGCTCTTTGCTGGCAACATGTTCTGTCTTGACCCCTGATGCAGTTTTTCCCGAATGAAATGACAGTCTATCTCTATGTGTTTGATACGCTCATGGTACATGGGATGCGATGTTATTTGAAGAGTTGCCTTGTTATCACAAAATAACTCCATTGGTAGATCAATCTCCATTCCCAGTTCCTCCAACAGCCCATGCAACCAAACCAGCTCTACTACTGTGGTTGCCATACTCCTATACTCAGCCTCACCTGAGCTTCTTGATACTGTGCTCTGCTTCTTGGACCTCCAGGAAATTAGTGATTCTCCCAGCTTTATGCAAAACCCAGTGACAGACTTTCTAGACACCATACAAGATACCCAATCAACATCACAAAAGGCAGTGATCTTCCTGGACTTGTTATTGCTCATCAGAAGTCCTAGGCCTGGCTGGCTTTTCACATATTTAACCACCCTTAATGCAGCTTCATAGTGTGACTCTTTTAGAGCATGCACAAACTGACTCAATGTTTGGACTGCAAAGGATATGTCTGGTCGTGTGATTGCCAGGTAGAGTAGTCTTCCCATCAACCTCTGATAAGGTCTTCTATCTTCCATCTCTTTATCAGTGTCAAGTTCAAACAATTTGTTATACTCCAAACTAGTGAACTTCTGATTCTGCTCCAAAGGGGTTATAGCTGGCTTTCCTCCCCCTAAGCCATATTCTGATATCAACTCTAGAGCATATTTTCTCTGGTTCATGAGTATGCCTTTGGATGACTTGGCAAACTCTTCCCAAGAAATACTTCAACTCACCCGAGTCTTTCATTTTGAAGTTGTTATTAAGGATGTGCTTGGCCTCTTGTATCAGCTTGATGTCACTACCAGTAATAAGCAAGTCATCAACATACACTAATATTATGACAATGTGTGTATCCTACCTTTTAGTAAATAGGGAATAATCTAACTTGCTTTGAGTAAAATCTGAATTGATAAGAGCAGTGGTAAGCTTCAAATTCCATTGCCTACTTGCTTGTTTGAGGCCATATAGTGATTTGAGGAGCTTGCAAACCTTATTCTCCCCTGGCTACCAAATCCCTGTGGCAAGGACATGTAGACTTCCTCAAACAAGTATCCCTGAAGGAAGGCATTGTAGACATCCATCTGGTAGAGTGGCCAATTATGCTGAGCAGCCAAAGACACAACACATCTGACAGTCACAATCTTCACTACAGGAGAGAAGGTGCTATGGTAATCCAGACCCTCATGTTGGGTAAGGTCTTTGGCCACTAATCTGGCCTTATACCTTTCAACACTACCATTTGCCTTATACTTCACCTTATACACCCACTTACATCCAATGGGTATTTTACCTGTAGGCAAATCGACCACTTACCATGTATGATTGTCAGTGAGGGCCTCAATCTCAAGCTTCATAGCCTGAATCCAGAACTTTAGAGGTGCATTAGCTTGAAACCTGAGTGCCATTGCCATCTCAAGCAAGTGCCTGTATTTCCTCTCAGCTACCCCATTCTGTTGAGGGGTATGAACATATGAACTTTGATGCACCACTCCAAGAGAAGTAAAAAGAGTGTTACATTGAGAATTGCAAAGTTCAAGTCTATTGTCTGATCTAATGGTCTTGATAGAAGCAGAAAACTGAATTTTAATCAAGGCAAAGAAATTTCTGAGTAAAACAATGACATCACTTTTCATTCTCATCAAATAAACCCAAGTCATTCTAGAATAGTCATCAACAATAGTAAGAAAATATCTATAACCGTTGTAAGTATATTGTCTATATGGACCCCACACATCCATATGTACAAGTTCAAAAGGAGAGACAACTTTAGAAGTACTAGTAGGAAATGGAAACCTAGTTTGTCTTACCAAAGGACAAATTGTACAAGACAAAGACTCTTTATTGAACAAATGACTTTGTAAGAAAGGAAGTTTTTGAAGAACAGCAGCTGGTGCATGACCAAATCTCTAGTGCCACACTGAGAATTGATGAGATTGAGCAGAAGAGAAGCAATGTTGTGAAGATACAGGGAAGACTGAAGTACATGGAACATGTGCTTTGACAGGTGATAGCTTCTTGGTAGGTTGAAGTAAGTATAGACCATCCTTCTCCTTACCAATCCCCTTCACCTTGCTAGTGCAAAGATCTTGGAAGATGCAGAAATCAGGATAAAAACCCACACAACATTGCAGTTGTTTGGTCAGTTTTGAGATAGACAAAAGATTATATTTGAAAAGAGGAACATAGAGGACATTTGTTAGTTCATCATTAAACAGTGAAACTGAACCAACATGTGTAACAGAGGTCACATGACCATTTGGTAAATGAATTTTGTTGGCATTAGGTGTAATTAGTTCAAGATTTAGCAAAATATTCAAGCTAGAAACCATATGATTTGTTGCCCCTGTGTCAACCACCCATGGAATGAATTCAGTGCCTTCAGATAAACTAACATTAGAGCAATTAGATATATCTGCCATATTAGCAACTTCTTCCTGTGAGGGTACTGTCTTGTTGATCAGCTGTAGGATCTGTTGATGTTGTTCAGGAGTGAAAGTAGGCATTGGCATGTAATGAGTAGATGGATGAGCAGGACTATTGGAGCATGATGTATCTGAGTGCCCCAAGTAATTGGCACTGCTGACTGAAAGTCCTTTGTTATTAGTTCCAAACTGTTATGGCCTCTCAAAACTTTTCTTCCTGTTAGCCTTAAAATTAGGTGGATACCCAACCAATTTGTAGCAATTCTCCCTTTTATGTCCTTTCATATTGCAATAATCACAGTATAATCCGTTTGGTTTCTTAAACATGTTGTTCTGCATAGCAGCAAGAGCTGTAGGATCATTCAAATCCAGGTTTGGTAATGGCTGAGCACACGGTGTTATCATATTTGACTTCATTCGTTGGCTTTCATCTTGCATGAGCATATTGTAGGCTTTGTTCAATGATGGACTTGGAACTGTCATCAAAATCTGGCTGCGTGACTGTGCATAGGTCTCATTTAAGCCCATTAAAAATTGCATTAACTTCTGTTATTCCATATGATTTCATAAGCCTTGTCACTCCCAAGCAGTGGAACTAATGAAAGGTATTTATCCCAAATGTTACGCATCTTAGAGAAGTACTCAGATATAATAGAAGTTCCCTGTGTCATTGTGTAGATTTCCATATGTAGCTGATAAACTCGTGTAAGATTTCTTTTATCAAAACGCTCTTTCAAGTCCATCCAAACCTTATGAGCATTAGATGAATACATCAATCCATTTCCTAGTTCCCTTGATACTGAATTGGTGATCCATGATAGGACAAAAGTATTGCACCTATCCCATTCATGTACTAGGTCTCCTCTATAATGTTCCTTACGACAGCTACCATCAATAAACCCTAGTTTATTTTTTGCTAACAATGCAACCTTCGTAGAATTACTCCATGCAGTGTAATTTTCTATACCAGTTAACTGTTGAGGGATTAGGATACAACCTAGAGTATCAGATGGATGTAGATACAGAGGATTACTTGGGTGAATGTCGGTGAATCGTTCGATCGAATCTCCAGCTGTAGGTGCTGAATCTTCAGTGTTAGTCGAAATTTGTGCAAAGCGATTTGCAATTGCAGCTACAAAGAGCTTAAGATTCCATAAATTGAACTAACTTTTGGGTCAGAAAAGAAAAAAACACCAAAAAAAAATTGTGAAGAAAGAAAAAACTTTGAACAACACAACAATGGCAGAAATTAGGGTTTGCTGTGCTCCGAAAATCATTCTCTGCTCACCGATTGTTCTCAATTGCTCATTCTTCAGCTCAAAATTCCACCGATCGGTGGCTCTGATACCATGTTAAAAGGGAAAATAGAGTTGGGTTAGAGAGTGAGAGTTTGAGTCGGTTACAGAGAGAAGGAGAGAAAAAATCTCAATTTCATTTCTTCAATCTTAATTACAATGTGTATATACATGCCTATTTATACAACTCACTAACTAGCTAACTTAACTATCTTCTAACATAGTCCTTAGCTAATTAATTATGTAACTAACTAAGTACTACTCTATATCTATTAAGTAATCTGTAGCTTTTTACAGATTTGTTTGTAGTTTTATGTCCTTTTTACATGCGATTGTATTTTACACATAAGAGACCCGAAAATAACATATAAAACATCTTTGCATGGTAATTTTTATTTTTTTAAATTGTAAGTAGGCACAAGAGACAATTTCCTCAACTGATTCTTTTAATGTTTACAATGATATTTCAAAAGAAAAAACCAAGACACTATTCTTTCTTCTTGATTATGTGAGCACTGCGATAAACTCTTAATTACACACAATATAATTGTATACGGTTAAAATCGAGCCCACCCAATTTTTTTATTTGACCGGGACCAGGGAGCTGCATCGAAGGTCGGCCCCGTAGTGGATCAGACCAAGGTACGAGGAAAAAGTACCAAGTTCGGGATTCGAAGTACTTGTCGAGATCGAGGCCAGCAACGATCGAGACCGAATAAGAAAGGCATCGATCAAGATCAAAGATAACATAATAACAGAAAGACGAAATATCCGTGACTAGTCGAAGATCATGGCGAAAATCTCGGAACAAATCAAATTAGGAACGGTTAATTAGCTAATCATGTAATTTTCTTCTGTAATTAGAGTTATACCATAAGTAGAATTCCTCTACTATATAAAGGAGAGTATTAACCATTTGTAAGGACACATTGTTCTCGCATAAAAAAGCCAATATAACGCGCTTATACTTTCTTGTTCATCAACTTGCTTTATTTATAACTGTTTTGGTATCAATCGGTTCGAGGGGACCCTAGCTCGAGGGTTGAATCCTGTTTCAAAACTGGTTCGCTTTAATTTATAGTTCATTTATGTTATTAATCTTCATATTTATCAATTGGTATTGAGTAAAGTCACGTGTCCTTAGAACCACATTATATGGTCAATTGTTATCCAATTTTAAGGATAAACAGTTTGGCGCCCGCTTTGGGGCTAAGGATAATAGTGATTGCTTAATACTGATTCCGATAACACAAACTGCTTTACACTTGTTCTCATAAGAATCTTTATTTTTAGGATAAACATGTCAAACTCACAAGCAGCGCCTACAAACGGTGACAACGACCTTGGATTTCACGGAAAAATGACAATATAGTCGCCCCAGGAATCGAGGAGCCTCAGGCTGACCTCAAGGGAGTACCAATTGCAAATCCCGTCGATGTCAGTTCACATGTCGCCCTAAATGCAAATTTGGGCGTTGATCCCGAAGGTAGCATATGCAGGGAAGTTCGATCAGGTGGTCGAGGTACGCAGGGCAGAGAAGATGGTGGAGTTAGCCTCCAATTGATATTAGAAATATTATAAGCTCAACAAGCCGTTATGGCACAACTAAAAAATCAGCACCGAACACCGAGTAGGATCAAACCAGAAGTCGTCCATAGGACCGAGCCTGTGCCGGAAAGGTCGAACACCAACGAATCGAGGACTGACCCGCCATAATAAAAATGCTCGAAGAGCTCACTAAATAGTTTGAATCGGGAGAAAAGAAAATCGAGGCAAATGACAAGAAAGTAAAGACATACAACTCCCGGGTTGACCAAATACCGGGGGCACTGCCGATTCTAAAGGGCATGGATTCAAATAAATTCGTACAGAAGCCTTTCCCTCCAAGTGCGGCTCTGAAACCCAATCCGAAAAAATTTTGAATGCCAGAAATTCCCAAGTATAATGGGACCACCGACCCTA